TGGAGCAATGTGGTGTTCTGCAACCCTAAAGCCAAAGCTGTCTCCAGAAGACTAATTAAACCCTTCCCACATTTAGTTTCCCAAACTTTGCAAGATTCTGCATCTCTATCTCCTTGGTAAGCTAAGTCTTGTTTCAGGGTTTAATCTCTTGTAAAAGTACCACCTCTTTGTAAGGCCATACATTTCAAAACACAGTAAGAGTTAGGTAAAGGTCCTACAAATTACTTTAATGGAAATTTGCAGGAAAAGGCTTCAATAACAGCTTCCGACCACCCCTTCTTTGTATCGCCACCATCGTGCGCATTACAAGACAAACCCACTGACGTCTGCCTTCATGCAACTGTCTCATGACAGAGGAACACCTGAATTTGATCCCTCACAAACATGCTTCTACTACATCAGGATGGGAGAAACCTCTGGAAAGCAGAATCAATAACCCATTTCACCGTGCTCAATATACAAATCTGAGGACCTCCTACTTCAGGAAAGGTAGTGCCAGGGAGCTAGATTAACAGTTGCAATAAACCAAACCTAATCAGCAGGCTAGATCTTACTTGCCCCAATTGTTAAAATATATATTTGACTTCACAAGAAGCCACGTTCTGAAAGAACTGAGCTGCAAAAGAACATCAGGTCTCAACTGAGAAAGTCCAGAATTAGTTAAAACATTAAGATTTTTCAGAGAGGAGAATAAGCTCAGCAAACTAACCATTAGAAGTGCAAACCAGAGAATTATTACTATGTTACTGGTGAGCATTTTATGATCTGTTGAGCAACTGGAAGAGAAAATGAACAGCAAAGCATTGGGCCAAGAAACGGAAAAAGCATTCATTGAAAAAATTATCCTAACTTTCCTCATAATTTGGGCAGATCTTCATTAAAAGCCATGTCTGTCTACTGTCAGATTTATGACTGCAGTTCAGAATAGAAGATGCCCTGACCTTACATTCTCACATAGGCATCTCCAGTGGATTGGGCTAGACTGGTCAAAGCTTGTAGAGCACTTCTTACATTCTTATACATGAGAAATCAAAGTAGTTCAGACTGAACGGGTCCCATCTTTTCTCAAAGCTCATTGTCATTTTTTTTTGCTCATTTGAAGATGGTAGATTCAAAAGTATATGAAGGCTTTGAGCTACCAATTTCTACCACTGTCACTATCAAAATAAAAATACATGTACCCCTGTCCTCAAAATTATTTTGATGAGTGCATAGACAGCTCAGTTAAGTTGGTGAAATTGGCCACAAATAAACTCTGTAATTATTTTGTGGGCACATTGCGCATCTTGTCGTCAATTTAAGTTACAGGACCACATTTGTTTCAAGCCAAATCTTAAACTATTTTCTTAAACTGCTCTAATATCTGCAAGTTCTATAAAATATCTAATTTCTTTGCCAAAGGATTATTGACCTGGTTATCATGCACTGACCCTAAGTGCAGTAAAATTCATAAACAGAGCATTCATGGATATACTCTGTTCCACTTCCCTACTTAGCACAGCAAGGTTTGTGATGACTCAAGGCAAAGCCATTCATTTAGTAAAAAGGAAGCATTAGATGGCTTGAGTAAGATCTAACCTCATCTAAGGAGTCATAATTTTGTGCCTGAAACAACAGACCTAAACAGCATCCCTATGATTTTGGAAATACTTGTGCGCATGAGTAACATGCAGTTTTTCCATTTCAATTGCCATATCAATCCTGATTGTCCAGAACTGTATTGCCTAGTGAAAAAGCAGGTTAAGTTAAAGAAAGCTTTTAGTTTTTAGCTACTCTGAGGTTCTGAAATAAAAATAACATGTCCTAAACTATTTGCTGGTACTTCTTCCCACATGTAAAAAGTCTTCAAAATTTAAGACAGGACTTGAGCAGCCTTAGTTCACTTTCCCTTTGGGTAAAGAAAATTATTTTAAAATTAAAATTAAAATTAGCCAAAGCAACAAGTCACAAGAATACCACATCAGTAAGTGCTATGAAAATTGTTTATTAAAAGGGATAAAGTATTTTTTCCCATCTTTTTCAGATAGGTTCTAAATTCTTTTTTCACATAATGAGTGAAGAACTACTTCCTAATACAATTTGAAAAAAATTAAACCCTCCACCTTAGGTGTTAAAACAAGGTAGAAAGCTGAAAAGCTCCCAACCCAATCAAACTGTGCAAGTCATCACTGAAGACAATGCCTCTTCACAAGGACAGAAACCCTGCTGTAAAAGTAAAGTGAAAAATAGGTTCTGAAGTTTATACAAAATAATATGCTTGCAGTAATAGCCCTTACTCTAAATTTTAGGAAGCTTTCACCATTCTGCATGTTCCTCTGCTTGGAGTACACATACACAGTAGCAATTCCTTGGAAAGCAGCAACTTTTAAGGTTAGAATCAGTAAGACTTCAACAAAGTGAAAAACCTAGTCATGTCCAGTATGAGGGTAAATACTAAACAAGCTTTACCCCTTCCCAAAGAGCAGTATTTAAGGAGGCCATTCACAGAGGGCTTCCTTCAGAACTACACTATTTCAGGTTGAAGAACTCTAGAGGATAAATGAAGCATAAATGAAGGACTCAGGATTCATGTGTATATATGATGCATTGGAGAAAAAAAAAATTAACATTTAACTCCTTTGTAGCTAAAACCTGCAATACATTAGTTTTCCCTGCTCACAGTAAAGACATATAAGAAAATGAAAATGAGAAAAAGAGCAATAATTTAAATTGCCGTAAAACTGCACCTTGTTTAGACAATTCTACTATAAAAAAGGCATAGACACTGCTGTTTTTCAGGAAGCTTACAAAGAGATTGTGTATGCTATGTTTTAGTCTTTTTATTACCAGTTGGATTTTCTGAATATAAAAGTGATTTACTCCTCTCTCCAAAGTTTTCTCTACCTTTATTTTTCCCCACATTTACCTATTCCATTTCAACATAAACGTAAAGACAGAAAGATTCAAAGTGTTTCAAGATCTAGAATGCTGGAAGATTTTCCCCGCAGGTGTTCATGAAACTGGATCCAGGTTTTGAACATTAGTCTTTATTAGCTTACTCAGAGAAAATTCTGAGCAAATTTATTTTTGTCTGTCAATACTAAGTGTTATCCAAATAGCAACACAGTATTTATTGTGTTCTCATATACAGAACAACATCTTTAGTAGAATTCCAGCTGGAAGACTATTTGAAAACATTGTTATTTTCAATTGGAAAAGGTTTTCAAAGCCGCAAAATTGGTTGGAAACTAAAAGAATACAACCATGTTTGCAACCTTTCCCATCTACTGTGAGCCAAATGAGATATCAAAAGAACATGTCATACAGAACATACATTTAGCTATACATGAGTGATCAAAGGCGTACAGACAATGTCAATATCACCACTACATATTTATTTTGATCAACTTTAAAAAAAAATATTACAATAGTATATAATGGTTTAAGATTTCATAAACATAAACCATATTGACTAATGGTCAATAGTGAAGCTACAGGGGAGGGGAAAATCCTTTAACAAGGATTTGGAAATAAAACTTTAAAAAGCTTTTGCAAAAATCACTCTTCCATTTCCTGTCGGAACGACATCACTCTTCTGCCAACTACAGCAGCTTCTATGCCCCATTTTGGCCACTTCTCCCACAAGCTTTCACGATTTCTCATCTGTCATTCCTGGTGTCTGGAACACCCACCTTCCTTCTCTTGAAGTCCCATTCTAAGATCCACTTCTGCAACATTGCCTACAGAAAGAGTAGGCAACTAAAACACTCATTCATTGCATCAACAACGTGCCAAGCATCAGCTTTCACTGTGTACATTGTACAGCATAGCGCTCATCTCACTTTACCTTTCTTACTGCACCGTACTAATTGCTCTCCCTCAGTGCATCAAATCTAAAAGTGGGGATTTAATATCTAAGAATCACTTTGGAGAAATAGTGTCTACCTCTCAGTGCTCACAGAAAGGAAAGTATGTTCAACATTACAAATATTCCATTGTGCCTGTGTGCATCTGTGGTATGTGCACATATGTAATCAGAAAAGAGCAGCCTATTTAATTTTCTTTACACTGTAGTACATTTTAATCCTTTGCCAGCTCATCTGAAATTTCTCATCAAAATAACTTATGAAACTGAATTGGAGAGCTGCATTTAAGCATTTTTGTTTTGTTTTAAAAAGCCTTCTACTCTAAACCTATTTCCTTCTATCTTTGAAAATCTGGATTAAAATTCAACTAACTAAGAGTCTATAGGAAATATTTATGTTTACATAGGTCAAGGTCTATCAAGACTATGTTCACATCTGCTATTAAACAACTGTATTTCTGGACAGTCATGAAGGCAGACTTGAAGCAATGACACCTTCTGAAAGACTGAAGGGAATTTTTTTTTTTTTTTTAATTAAAGAGAAAATCTAGCATATACGTTGCTTACACATATTAAATGCAAGCCTGTCACAAGATGGTATTACTGACCTTCAGGTGATATGAACCTCAAGTCATGCTTTCAGTCTTCCATATATTTCTACGAGCCACTCCATATAAAAGTGAAATACTTCACTGGCTTCAGTAATGCTAATGCAGGTCTAACACACAATAATGCATTATCAAGGGAAAAAATGTTTAAGAATGGTTGGGTTTGTAACTTTGTGTCATTACAAATGGGAAGTAGAATACTTGAGCAGACAAACAAGCTGCACAAGGCATTTTCAGAAACGAAAAACGGTTGAAGATGTAAAATGCAAAACCATTACAAAAACACTGTAGACACAACATGTAAATACAAGATATAATCAATAACCCAATTTAAGTTACAAATATAATTCTTAAAGATGAAAAAATAAAACCTTGACAAGCATGTGACTGAAGTTTACATGTATAAACTCACTAAAACTAAAGCACTTGCCACTGAAAACACTGTCATTCACAGTTTAAAGCTAAGTGAAGCCCTTCCTCATATATATTTCACACACTTGAAACTATCTCACTATTGAAAGGGGAAAAAATAAGCTTATTCAACTTACATCTTTTTCTGACCGATGTGGGAACATCGACGATTGGCTGTAGTACATGTTTTCATCATGGTAGTCACCATCAACCCCCTCTACAAACTTCTTCCTTGAAGCACCAAACATGCTGTTTGTCACCTAAATAAGAAGAAAAACGATTATATACCATATATGATTTGGTTTGCTATATACTTATAATAGTATACATTTTAAATATATGTAAGGATTGTTAAAAAAAACTGTTTCTAAACACTTCAAAATTCCTCTTTAAAAATATTTTCTGTATATTGCCAACATAATGGTTCTTCCAAGTGGGATTTTCATCTGACAGAAACTCGTATTTCAGAAAGGATTGGGGTAGGGAGAGGGGACACGCTTTGTTTTTTGGAGGGGTGTTCGTTTGTTGATTGTTTTTTTTGAGTCTCATGACCTTTCACTCAGGTTTATTTAAAATTACAGAATGTCAGATAACACAACAGCAAATTTCTTAAATTTTCCTCTCCTCACGTAAACACTTTCCATCTAAAAGAAGAAAATTAAGGAATGTTCTTTAGAGCCCAGCCACCTTATAAGAAATAACAATAAAAAAAGGAAGGGGGAAAAAAAAAAAAAAAATCTATAAAATCACTCCCATGTCTCATCCCCACAACTTTGGAAAAGCAGCTTTCTACTTGACCCTGTGCACTCGGAGCCATGATTAAGTAAGAGAAGGTTGAGCTTAACCCCATTCAACAACCTCATCACAGACTGGCAAAGTTACTGCAGACAGCCCATAAAAAACCACTAGATTTTATTTTGCCGTTACTCCCAGAGGCGTGCACACACACGCACACAGAGCGAGCTGCTAAGTCAGGAACTGGAGACTGAAGAAACAGCAACCACACAGTTGGTCACAGAACCTTAATTCATTAGAAAATTTAATCCTGCAGCAAGGTCATACAACATCCCTAAAGCATCTACCGCATGCAGTGCATATTTATACACCTGACTCTCTTATTTATGTAAAAATACACACACCTCTGTTAAGTTCCTAATCTATCTGGCTACGAAACACTATCACAGCGCAGTGTGGGCTAACCAAGCCCTGTCTTAACCTAACAGGTTAATGTTCAAACCCACAGAACAGCACATACTGGTCAGCACTGAGCAACAGTTTCTTGTATCCTACAGGGAGACTGAAGAGAGCGCAACCAACAGAATAGTAATCAACCCTCAGCTACCGCCCTACATAACATACCTTCAAACGGATCTTTAACATCTCGAAAGGTAAGGAAACTAAGTCACAGCTTATGAAATGCTCTGAGCCCTAAGATTCACTATCTTCACTACTGACAGCATTAGCTAAACCTAAAAAAAAAAGAAAAAAAAAAAAAAAGGACAATTTTTAAAATTTTTCTTAAAGAGTTATTTTGCACTACCTTACACTCATGCTTGAAACTGAAATTTCAAAACATTTATTCTGGTTGGCTGCAAGGAGAGTTACTTTCAGCCTGAAATCCTCTTATCCCTACTGACACAAAATTACTCTGATATTCCTCAGTGTTGCTTATTCAAATTTCACCTTTACTGACGAAGATTTCTAGGCAGTGTTTAATAACATGGTGTTCCTATAGTAGCAACAACTTAACGCCATGATTTCAAAGTCCTAGGAGTTTTGAGTAAAAGTAAAGTCAACACTTCGGATGCATTTCATACAGCTATAATCACAGAATTGCCCTAAAACGTTCAGCTAAATGAAAACCTATTCCGCTACTCCTACAAGAGGGTTTCAGATATTTAGACTACTGATGCCTCAAAACAAATTTATAATCTGTTACACACATGTGAAGGCACGTAAAGGTACTGCACACCTTCTCCAAATGAAACTTGTATTTTATGATATTTACAAAAATGTGCAAATGTAAGGTCCCAAACTGCTCGAATGCATTCAGCTGACTTTCACATTTGTAGTGAAGCTTTCATTACACTATAAGCATATCCCACTGTGCTAATCCCCTTACAATGCAATTATCACCTACCAGATGGGATGGAGCATTTAACAGGCTAAGGGGATTATCTTGTCCTTTGCTCTGCCTGAGTAAAGTGCGGAGAGATGAGCAGTTGCCTTTAACCGCTGTACAAAGGATATTGAAATGCTTTGGTGAAGCTGTCCTGAGCAATGAGGAGAAGCTGAGCATCTCAACCAACTACTGCTCTTGAGAAGATAAACGGCAGCTCCTCACAAGTCGTGAGGAATTTTTTGGTGCTCCTTTAACAATACCTGGGATAAGAGAACTTTTTTTGCCATATAACCTTCCCTTGTGATAGATCATCAGAATAACAAAATTTAACTGTGACAGAAAGCAAGTCACCATGCCGTACTAATGTAATACCTGACCATGAGCTACAGTACAGGAACTATATAAGGGGAAAAAACAATTCTGTCTTTGACCCTGTAGCTTTTGATCTTATTTCCACAAAGGTTTACACATGGTTGGCTACACACGCACCATATAAAGACTTCCGAATCAGTGGGGTAGGGTCAGAGCTTTCAGTCTCAAAATGTATGTTTAAAGCTGCTGCAAGAAAGCTAGTATGTTCAAATACTAAGTCTGAAAAGCTGAAAGATATTTTAAACACTCTCCACTAAATTTAAATTGTCTAAAAGATTATTTTCTATATTGATAATTGTGTAAGACAGTGGCCCAAAAACTAATCAAGATTATGCCCTGAAGACTGATATTAATATGGAGTCTTACAAGAGCATCATTATTAAAAAAGAAATGAAGAAAACTTTTAATAATTAGATAGATTAAGTATTGATATTTTTATTGGCAACCCATATTTCTACATGATACCTAACAGGACTGTGCTGATGAATCCCAGAGAGCAGAGCAGTGCATTGCAGGCTGCAGCTGCAGGGGAAGAGGAGAAGGCCGGAGGAGCCCTGTCTGCAACCCAGCTGCATCGCTGCACCCGACTGCTCTGAAGACCTTCAGAAACTTTTTGCAGAGACTGACACTTCTTCGCAGCAGCATTTTTGTAAGCGATTCTGTGTCATTCAATGCTGCCAAGTGAAGCAGTCGCGTGCAGTGCTCAAGCTGTCCACGCTCCCACCCAGGGAAGCGGTACAGGCGCTGGAGGGCATTCTGGCAGCTGCCACTTCACTAGAAAGAACTAGCCACTCAGGGTGAACCACAGCACAGATCACAACAGAGAAATGCGGCGTTGCAATTCACGCTGCTATGCAGCCCCATTACAAAACTAACAGCACGATAAAGACCAGTAACTGAAAGGGCAGGAACTGGGCTTAGAGACGAAGCTGCAGCTGCTGTAGCCAGGCTGCTCACTTCTTGCTTGTTCTTAGGCTAACACCAGCAGCCAATTTATCTACTTCCCAGTAGTTGCCGGTGACAGTAAACCGCTGGCAAACTTCTGAATCAGAGCACCTATCCCCATGCACACTTTTATAATATTACAGCAGGTTTACATAATGACAGTGTCAGATGGTTGCCAAGTTGGCAGTAGGCATCTTCCTATCCACATTAACTTATTCCAGTATTCACTAACATATTCATTAGTCAGTCATGCTACAAGCATATGCACATATATTGAAAAAACACTGCTGCAGTACTATTTCTAAGAAGGTATGAGAATAACTGGGGCTGTGCCAAATGCGGGCAGATCTGCAGATGGAACTTTGTTGCTTATTTCTCAGGACAAGAAGTCACCAGGAAACCTCATGCACAAAGACTGCAGAGTTCCTTTTTCACAGACTGATAGATCAGTGTCCAATCAGCTACAAAAGTAAATACAGCAAAGTTCATGCAGCACTTATAAATACATTTTAAACCCTTTGGAAAGTAACAGTGACCTGAAGTTTTGTACCTTCGCAGGGTCTAGACTGATGAGGTGAAAGGTAGAAATCAGCTCTTGTATTTAAGTCTCTCATTCATACATATATACTTATATACACACACACACACACTTATGCTAACACAATCTCACAGAAGTGGTACTCCAGTTGCATGGCAATTTTATTAAGTAAAGAATTCCTGTCTACTCAGCCTAATTTCATACAGATCCCTCTCCTAATCCTGTAACTACTTGTCCTGTTCTACTGTGGGAACTCAGTCCTCTGTTGCACAAGACACACTGGCAGTGTAACCATTCATTAAAAATGTAAAAAAGGTGCACTTCTGTCAATTCATGCTTTAGCATAATATTGCAAAAGTACTTACAACTCCCACCGGTAGACCCATGTACAAATATACAAATATTAGAAAATATTCGTGGTAACAGAGGAAAGAAAGGGAAGGAGCTACATGTTAGGATGGAGTTCAGAGAACTAACCAGCCGTCCTGCCACAAACCATGCCCAATTCTGATCAGACGAGCACAAGCGCTTCTTTCAAAGCACAAGCACATCATGTTTAAAAATCAGATTTGCCCAGAACTTTAAGTTAACGTTAACCAAGCAAAATGCAGTCCCACACCCGAAAAGATCTTTAAATACTTCTGTGGAACATTTGCTAACCACCACCACTACAGGGGAACTAAAAGCACTGTACAAATGTTATGAACTTGAAGCACCTAATAAGCAGTTTGCTGTGGTCATTGACCTTTACCCTGCAGCTGAGTATATAACACATGACAACCAACAATACTTATTTTAAAAAAAATTGAAAAAAAAAACCCAAACACAACAGATTTCAAGAAAAATCCTTCTCATTACAAGATACACTGCAATATAGCATACTTCAGCACACAAAAACTTGCTTGTTAGCAATAACTTAAAATACATTATTGATGCAGAATTTGTTAAGGAAAAATTATTAGAAACTTTGTCATCTTAAGCTGCAAAAAGATCTCTATAATCACTTATAAAGCGATGCTATGATTGTATATTAAATTAGTTTAACAGCCTGAAGCAAATTATAGTATTAAAATATGAAAACTAATTATGTTTCTGTTTTGCAATACTACTATAGGTAGTGCCCAAGGAGAGCTCAACTTATGACATTAACATAGCCAACTTTAAACTGAGAGGATACTATAAAATCTCCCTGGAGAATGAATATTTTTAATTTTGCAGAGAGCAGAAAAATCGATCATTGCATTACAACTGATTAAACTCAAAATCTTTATGAGAGCTGAAAACTATATACTGTAATACATGTTTAAAAAAAGAAACCACTTCAGGAATTTTAGCAGTATCTTCCCTTTCCTGCTTCTCCAATGACTATGGTATTTGTCAACATGCCCACTATCGTTACGTGAGAGC